TACAAAGTATATATATCGTTTACACATCCCCAGATATTGAAACCATAAATAGCTAACCACTACCTGATTGGGTGCATAACCTTGAAGATCTGTAAGATACTTGTGGTACTGCTGATGAGCTACACTTTGCCAGTCCTAACTTAACACAATCTGCCTATGTACCCAATAATTCAGTACAGTACCTAACCTGTAAGTACTGACGACAAAACGCAAGTTAAAAAGACTTCGTTACTGAGGAAAAGTGCTCAGATGTACCGTATATTTGAGTAAAATAAAAGGTAAAAACTATCCAAGCAAAAAGGTATATAGCGGTAAATAATTCCCCCAAATTATTGACCACAGCAGTCACTCACCATTAGATGCTGACCACCACTGTTTAAGTCGACTTGTTTAGCTGAAGGCTTCCGGTCAAGCATCCCCGCCATTTGGTACCCCGTTGTGTCACGTGCACAATCACTAGCTAGCTAAGCGTTCGTTTGACGGCTTGTTTTGGTCCCGAAATATATCACGAAGTTTGGACGATCAAATATTGACTCTTGCTTTGTTGTTGGTACTACAGAACTAATAAGTTAGACGCTGTGTAACAGAATTCCGTCAACCTCTAAAAGGTCTAGAACTTATCAAACGGATATGGCTTTGTTACAAAATCAAGGTATGTGCGAATAGACAGTACAACAGAAAAAGAAGAAAAATGGCGTTGGAGCCAGTTCGTATAAGAACAGATTAAAACACAATCTTTGAACATTGTGATTCTAACTACAGATCACGAAGAATAAAAATAAGTTAATCAAAAATTGTTCAATCACGTTATCATGTCGGCACATGCATCAATCATAACTTTATGGCTAACAAAGATAGTTAGTCTGTCCTAAAAGTATGACTTTATCATGTTAATAAATCCTTAGGAAGATTTCACATGCAGTACGAATTGATACATAACTACAAAACGGAGTTCGAATGCAACCCATCACTCCAGTTATTTGGAATTTGATTTCACTTTGAAACTTTCTGTTTTGAAGCCATATAAATTGAACTACTTGTGCTGCCAATATATTATTGGTGTCTTTACCCGCTTTAATACATATGTATTTCATGCTGCTAGAAATTAATTATTACATGATTGCATTTTATTGTGGGAAATTTAGTGAATAAAATTTTCAAACTGTACCTGCATCTACTTTAAATTCAAGTGTCAGTAATCTGTTCTATTGCCATATGACTAACATGATCTATCGTATTGGCTGTGGCGAAAGTGATGCGTGGATGTGCTTGTAACTGCATAAATAACACATTAATTTTACTGTCGTTATAGTTAGACAGATGTTAGAAGTAGCATCATTGCGTACTATTTCTGATTCCAATTAATACACAATAATACATCCCTGTCTTCATGTTCTACAATATGCTGAACTCTGTGTATAAACTGAATGCAAACAACGTTGTTATTAAAAAAAATACAAGTGAAAACTTGAGAAAATTTGTTGTAAGTGAAAGCGAACTTCAAAGTATACGAAATAAAAGCAAAAGTGCATGACAGTGTGAAGGACATATAAAATAATCAAAAACCAGTTTCAGTTACAGAATGGCAGATATTCCGTAAGCCTAAGTAAAATTAGTTCCTGTAAAAGTATAATATAGGTATATGAATTAGTTTTATAAATGTTCAGTTAGATTTAATATAGGGACATTGCAGTATCTACGAACTTAGCGTACTTAAAGGTAAACAAATTATATTCAGGGATTTGACTAGTGACAAGGGCTGACATCGGTACAACAGGTCGGGTATGAGGACATTAGCTAATGGTCCCCCGATGTTTTGTGAATTGGCAAAAGTTGAAATTCCTGAGCGATTGGATCGGGTCCCAGTGATTTAATGGTCTATAAGCTTGTAGGGGACTAATATTAGAGTTCACTAATATTACAAATATGAGAAATATAATCCAAGTCAATGAAATTTTAAATAACAATATATTACCAAAAATGCAGTGACGAGTTATATCAACAAAAAGGATTACTTGGATATAAAGTTTAAGTCCTCTGCTACAAATTATTTATATAGCCCACGGGTACGTTAATTGTTTTGGGTTGCGTCTGCTGTAGCTGCTGTGTTCCGGTTGTAGAAACGTCTTCGGTTGAGAGCAGTAGACTCCTACAATAAATCCGAAGTATACAACACGGTGTGAGTTGAGCAAGAAAGGGGAAATAACCAGGGAGAAGGCGAAGTCTCCAACAGCAAAGTGTATTTTCAATTGTGTACGGAAGTTATGTATATTTCAACAAGAAGCATTTTAAACAAAAATTACATACAATATCTCTAATTTCTACATATAACCAAAAAGTGTACAATCACATTGTTAAGTACTCCACAAGCTCACCTTGTAATCAAAGGGTCCTGAGTGAGAACCCTGAGGGTGGGTGCTTACTTCTGAAGAGTCCCAAACTAGAATGAAACGGTTGTCCAGTACTCCCAGGTTTTCCAGTGGTTCTCTAACCGATGTCAGCTTATGTTTAAATTAGACAGTAGGTCAAAAAGTTTTATAAGAAACTCATTATCATGGTTAAATTAGTGTTTGTTTCCTTTTCACGTCTATATTTTGGTAGAATAAAATTTTCAGAAATGCAAACCTTAAAAATCTTAGATACAACCAAGAAAGGTCAAATAAACTTTTTACTTTAAACTGAAAATTTTAATCCTCAATAGTTCATTGAAAATAGTTGTCAATGTCAAAGTGCTATGGATGTCATCAAGCGTGGTAACGTAACGTCCATAGTAAAACATAAGCAGTCAGAGAAAACTAAATGGTGTTCTTACTCATTAAGTGTCAGAAATCGTTTCTTTTACTTTGAATACGTCATCATTCGACTGTATGCTTTCTAGCCTCTAGTTTCAACGTACGTGACTTCGAAAATAAAATCAAGTATTTACATTATCAATAGGCCAGAGTGAAACGCCACTACGAGGTATGGGAAAGCCAAAAAAATGAATCACAATGTGCAGCCTGCTTAAAAACACTGACAACGCAATAACTGTAATCACAATAGAATATACATCATATTATAACTAGAAAATGTACCTCCTGACAAATATTATTAAATGAATTTCCGTTTTCAACAAAGCAACAATTACCTGATGCTTTTTTACATACTTAGTAGGCTTTTAATGCACTACACTCTGATTTCATAGTCCCTGTGTTTAGGAATTATTTTCTAAGTGTAGTCAGGTGTAGTGTAGGTGATGCTGAAATAAACGTAGTTGATGGTTAAAGTCTACTGACTGTCTGCCCTTATATACAACCCGATTGACACATTTGATATACGTAGCATATAACATATTCACTGGCTGATGCCTTATTTAAATACTGTCATGAAGCTTATTAGAAAGAAAACCAACAATTTTTAAGAGCACTTCTAATTACTAAAATAATTTAATACTCAAAATACTGAACATAAAAGTCAGACGCAACTTAGAATATTAACCATTGAATATTGTCACTTAGTCTAACGAATCCACCAACAGTCCTGTGTCGATAATATTATATATATTATTCGCCAATGAAACAGGTAATCTATCGGTAAATGTTGTCAAACTCAATCGCATATATGAGATGCAGGTTTAAGTGAGTTTGACAGGGGTGTAACGTATAACTAAGATTTATGCAGGCTATTTAGTTTCTTGGGACATGAAAGGTGCTTTTAAAATTCCAGCCCTCATTAATACTTAATGAAAGCAAAGGTAAGAGGAGAGCCAATTAACTGTCAGTGCAAAGTTTATATATCAACGAAATCTGATTGCTTAATTGTAGTTTACTGATCAGAAGCTACAAAAAATTAAGATATTACCGTTTGTAATGATAAGTGTAAAATGACTAGAAGTACAACAGGTCACAATGTTATATATAACTTAATTTCTTAACTTCTGTTAAGTTAAGAAATTAGAAACATTCAGCAACGATGCAGAAGACTAGGCCTCTAAATTAAGTGTTATTATTATTATTATTCATTACTCCCTTGGGTTCCAAGTGGGACAAGAGCTTCAACAACTTATCTCCACCTTCTTATATTCTTTGCCAGCCTCTTCAGCTGGGTCCACGTTTTACCATAATCTCTCATCTCCTCCTACACACACGATCTACTCCATATCACTCTCACACTGACGACCCACTCGTTGCTTCTCATTTGGATTTCACTCGAGCGATGGCTCACATTGAGCTGGATGTCATTCGATTGTCTTCTCAATGTATGCCCGATTCATCTCCATTTTCTCCTAGATATCTGTTGAGCAATTGGCTCTTAATTGGCTATTATTACATAATAATTATCATTAAAATTTGTATTGCATTACGTTAATTGGACTGAGAAAAAGGTGTTTCAATTCCAGATTTATTTTTCCGTGAGTTCATTGTTGTAACAGCTCTATCCTGACAAATAATCTGTTACAAATAATAACAGACGTTTAAGGGAGATCGCCTTCTTGTTTTCCTGAAAGTGTGCGTTTACACAACTCCATATGCTTGAGTTCAAATCTAATGAACATCTTACGTAATTTGTTGATAACAATGAAAAAAGACAGAAATGCTAAGAATCAATTAGGCTTAATCAGGTTATTACTCCTTCAGAATACAATATGAGATACTTTGAACACTGGAATTATTATCGACTTACTTATTATATACCTGGGTAAATTGTTATGCTAGCTAGCCTGCATTTAAGGCAAATCAAAATAATTTTTTAGTATTATACTCCTTAAACAGTATGAACTGACTATTTAGTGAACATATTAAAGATGTTTCATATGTGAATTGTCGATTGACCTGAGTAAATACTGGTGAAACTTCTTTGCGATTATTTAGGTCATCATATTATGCAACCAACCAGCTTTTCGCATACTACTGTTTAATAAAATTAACTAAGGTAACTAACTTAAAATTATATAAAAACATCACACAGTCATCTAAGTATTAAATTCATACCAGAGATTTTTTTTTGCGTTATCGAAATTCATGGATTCTGCATCAGAAGATTATGTGAATTTTCAACCTGGTGGAATGCATAAAAAGCAGAGAGATGAAAGTGACCAGACGCTAAAGAAACAAAAGAATGAACAAACCACAGGCTGGAAATCTGTAAGCTTTATATATATAATTGATTTTTGATGTTTTGGACCAGTTATTAAGAAATATTGTATGATTTAGGCATTGGTGTTCATAAACAAGCACCAGTAGACTGAAGAAACTCGTCTTCTTCTCTTGACGCCAGAAAGAAGTATTCAGTGCTAAAATCAGGGACTTCTCATTAAGTTATTGTGATCAGTAATAGTAATGGGAATAAAGCAAGAACAAGTTTTCACAGAATAATAGCGTACCATCATTTACTTCGCCGGCTTCTCATCAGCTGTTTACAGCCTAAATAAATTACTAAACTTATGTACAGAAACGTTTTAGCATACTTGCAAATTTTACATCATGTCACTTGACAGTGGGTTCCGAACTTGGTGAACAGTGCTCAGAAAATTACGCTTATATGGTTTTTTGCACAGGGAGTTTAAGTTTAAACAGAGACAATGCATGCACACATTAGTAAAGGAGTTACGTATGCATGCATTGTCTCTGTTTAAACTTAAACTCCCTGTGAAAATAAAAACTATGTAAACGTAATTTTCTGAGCACTGTTCACCAAGTTCGGAACCCACTGTCAAGTGACATGATGTAAAATTTGCAAGTATGCTAAAACGTTTCTGTACATAAGTTCAGTAATTTATTTAGGCTGTAAACAGATGATGAGAAGCCAGCGAAGTAAATGATGGTACGCTATTGTTATGCGAAAACTGTTGTTTTTGCTTTATTCACTTTCATAAAGAGGAATAAATGTATGAAGTTTCTGATAATAGTGTACCAACAGAAAACAAGGGCCAGGAAACAGATCGTTTATTAAAGAAGTCAACATATATTTATAGATTTTCATGTACATTATTATAGATCATTGTTAGCAGAAAAACACAGTCCTCTGATTGGTTGTTTCTCACTGAGAGTTAATCTTTCATCTCTTTGTGACTGTTTCTTGAGTGTCAGATCATCTATATGTTAACTGTATCTGCCTACGCAAAGTCTGTTGTGGTTAGTTGTTGAATCAGTCTTTGTTCATATTTTTCTCACGATCAATATTGAGAACGTAAACATTGACGTAAATTACCACCTACCAATTTGGCTAGCAGCCAGCTCTCACCACAATAGTATTGTATAGACGAACTGGTCACGTAGTTGTAACGACAGAAGATAAGAGACTTGGTAATGGATTTCTATTGATGAAAAACGCATCATATTTATGCATTCTTAGCCATATTAAAGTTTCGCCAAGTCAGAGGAGAACAAACTCTCCTGATTGGTTGACAACTACCCTAAGGTTATCCAGTGACGTTATTTTGTGTCGACAACGTAAGCTAAATCGAGATTTGAGGAATAAGCACTTCTACTTTTTCAGTCATTGACTTAAAATGCTGATGTCAGTTTTGGCCACTTCCTGTCAATCTATATCACGCTGCATAGGAACTGATTCAGCTGTCTAATAGTAAACTCTAATTAAAAGAAACATCGATCGAATGTGTAGCGTAATCCATATATGCTAATTGGAATAACAATAAAATGAACCATGAGTTCACTGTTCACGATAGATGAGATAATGGATTTTTATGGCGTAGGAGGCCTTTATTCTTATCGTAACTGAAAAATAATTAGATCAGTAGTCGTATTACATCAAGTTAAAGAGTTAAAGAAAAGAGTTTAATTAAATTTAGATATGTAAAATAAATAATAGTGGGTGAAGAAGTTATTCTGAGTGTCACTTGAAACATTAAGAGTATAACACTAGAGGTACAAGAAATAATCCTAAATACTTTAAAAATTATTTCGCCACTGTAAAGTACAGTTTTCTATCTGATAATCTGTTTTAATTTTAACTTAAAAATCCATTTAAACAGTACTAATTCTTCAATTGTGAGCATAGTTTTAAGAAATGTAGCAATAATATCCAATAATATCCTCCTTACATGGGATATAGATAGTCATGCGGAAATGTGACTTAGTGAAATTTAGCTAGATAGACTTAAATTTACATGAATTAATGTTCATTTTCTCTTAAATCTAATGTTTAATAGCTTTATTTTAATGCCAAAAAATACATACTACTGACTATGGTGAATATTTTTGTAATCACTCACCCTAGTTAGACTGGGGTGATTTTAACGACTGATTATTATTTCATGATATTAGATGGTTGGAAGCAATCGGCAGGAAGCCTTCGACCTAGGTTTACTGCTAGTTGGCACTCACCAATCAGCAAGGCGTATCTGCAACCTCGAAGGAACTCATGTCCCTTCTGAGGATATTCGAAACCGCGTCACCCAGTGCTACAGTCAGAGACCTTACCACTGAACTAATCAGGATGCAACAACAGAAAACAAGGGCCAGGAAACAGATCGTTTATTAAAGAAGTCAACATATATTTATAGATTTTCATGTACATTATTATAGATCATTGTTAGCAGAAAAACACAGTCCTCTGATTGGTTGTTTCTCACTGAGAGTTAATCTTTCATCTCTTTGTGACTGTTTCTTGAGTGTCAGATCATCTATATGTTAATTGTATCCGCCTACGCAAAGCCTTTGTTCTCATTTTTCTCACGACCAATATTGAGAACGTAAACATTGACGTAAATTACTGTCCACCAATTTTGACTAACAGCCAGCTCTCACCACAAGGCTTGCGATTGACTTCCTGTAGGGCTGTATTGGATGTTTATGATTGGATGCTAGTCAGTAACTAGTGTGATGTGTGCAGTCCTTTCTTTAGTGCAGATTGAATTCTATCAGTCTATTACTATTATTATTTCACTATTATTTCACCTTTTCAAGGTACTACAGCCGTCATATATATAATTCATTATGCTTACATTCTTGACATTATATTGCCGTGACAAATAGATGAATTTTTCTCAGTTTCAACTGTTGTCAGATTACGTGTTGTACTCTGTATTTCGTATTACATTAATTTGATTTCTGTCATGCAACCTCGTCAGAACTTGTTATGACGTAAATGAACTCGATTACCCCGTTGCCAAATATGTTATAAAGGAGTGTTTACTGCGCTTTAGACACGACAGTACAGACAAATGATCGCTTGGAAATATTCCCAACCCTGAGGTACACACAGAAGTCACATTTAACTGAGTCAACGACAACTTTTATCATCTGAATACAGGGTGTATACTTCGTTCACATATCCACTGGGATTCAAACCGTAAATAAAAAGTCAATATTTGATTGATTGATCAGTCATGACTTTACTGCTAATAATGATACTTTGTGCATCCTAACGGAAATACATTAGATTCATTGTTGTTCTTTGATAGATACAATAGATTTTTTTAAAGTTAGACTCTTGAACTGATTTTCTTTTTTTCTTAACATCTGTTCATTTTGTTATGTAAGCCGTTTCTGGAGCAAATCACAGTAAAAATAACAGCTATAATACAAATTTGTCTAGACATCTAGACTTTTACGGATCGCACTCATCACTCTTCTGTAGGAGATGTAATCTACACATGCTGGTCTTTTCCACCATGCATATAAAGGTCTCATGTGCTAAATGAATATTTGTAGAGGAAGGAAAGGACGAGATTTCAACTAATTTGGATGGTACGTGAGTAACTTGTTCATTGATTCCCTTCTAAAGCGTGAAGTTAACAACGATTAATACACGTTTGGTGTTGTTTTCCTTATGCCACTATATATTCTTCTTCTTTTCGTTGGATAGGCAATTGTCATTTGCTTACAAATTACTTCTCTACAATCTTCCATTACAGTGATCCTTTAACTTCCACTTTTAAAATTAATCGATTTATCTTACTTCTTTTAATATAATGACTTATGTTCCGTGGAAACATAGAAATTTTCGCTAAAATTATTCTCATCAACTCTACTACATTTATACCTTCCGGAGAAACGTTAATCTGTAAGTATGAATTTCATTATGTGGCTTACGTGGGATTATACAATAAAACCAGAATGACTTACTGTTTGACATGGGCTGGAATCTCCATAGGGATATCAATTCCTTGGTGATGAGTATCAGCAAGTACAAAACCTACTTCCAGGGCTTCCTGTGGATTGACTGCACCATTACAGTGAAACTATTGGTTTGGTGGTCACATTGCGAAATTAATGGGTAGGATTCAGTCAATATCAACACCATGGACTAAACGAATGACATGAGTTGCTTTCTAATGACAAATCAATTGTACTGTTTACAGGATTTCATCATGAGGTGATACTGGTTAGAGAACCATTGGAAAACCGATGTCATCTCATGATGAAATCCTGTAACCAGTCAAATCCCTATAAACCAACACTTGAATATCGATGAGATGCTCACTAGTGACTTGTCCTATTCAGGTAGGTAGTTCTGGGGGGGGGGGTTCTAGTGAGAAGTCGTGACCAGTGGGGTGAAGCAGGTCGGGTGTGAGGACTCGCCGAAGACATTGGTTAGTGGTTGCGCTATGTCGTGAATTGGCAGAAGTTAGAATTCATGGGTCATTGGATCAGGTCCAAGTGACTTAATGGTATACGAGCTCTCCATGTAACCAGAAGGTCCTGGGTTCGAACCCCGGTGGGTGCGCACTGATGAAGAGTCCCAGACTAGGACGAAACAGCTGTCCAGTACTCCCAGGTTTTCCAATGGTTATCCAACCAATGTCAGCTCATGATGAAATCCTGTAACCAATCAAATCCCAAAAGAAAAACACTTGAATATCAGTTGTACTGTTGTTCATCGTTGTAGAATGATACTAGTATACAATGACTTCCAATAGTGTTAATATTGATACTTGTCAAACATCGCTGCAGATAGAGATACGTCTTATCAAACTATTTTTCACTAAAATTTGCATACATACTGATAGTTTTATTTCATGGAAGTGTCATGCTTTATAGAATTCTCTCATTATATCAGGTATTAATAGAAGTTTGAATGCTATGTACAATTAGATCTCAATCCATTGATTGGGTGATAACGTACTCTTGTGTTCTGACAAGACTACACTCTATCTCTTGATAAAAATTGGTCTGATATTTATTTAACTGAAATTATTTCTTGGTTAAATTTACATGGAACGGAAGTCAGACAAGTATCTAAAAAATTAATACTTCAACCGTAACTTTATAATTATGATACCCTAATTTGTTGGTTTGTTTTTTCCGCTTATATAGGTTCGTAAATCCTTAATTGATGAACGTCATCGATTAGATGCTACACAAATGTCAAGTACCTGAAGTTTCCATTTCCCTAGATTACATACTACTACTATTTTGATTACTTTTCACCTTTTAAGGACTATCTAGCATTTTTTCTGTATTAACACGAAATCAATCCCAGGTAATAACAGCCGGTGATCTTCTGCATATTATGAGATCGTTAAATGATGCATTAACTGAAGCAGAATTACATGATCTAATTTTAGAAGTGGATATTGATCGTAAATAAATCCTTTTATTGAAGAATTGTATGATTAAAATTATTTAAAAAATTATAGGAGATGGAAAATTAGATTTTTCTGAATTATGCATATTTGTTGCTGAACGAATATATAAGAAGAAATTAAATCGTGATTTTGAGGAATTATTTCAAATATTAGATCAAGATGGTAAGTTAGAGAATTAGAACAATTTATTTATATTTGAAATCACTAATGCAGTTTGACCTATTGATTTTTCTGAAAACATAACAAAAACGAGAAGTATATATATATATATATATATATATATATATATATATACTTGTTCCCTTGGGTTACTAGTGGAACATAGGGCAGTGGGCTTCAAGTGCACGTCTCCACTTGCTTCTGTCTTCCTTCTGCTGTACTTTTCACATGCGTCCATGTTAGTCCATACTTTTCAACTCCTCTTCACACGATCTCCTCCATGTCACCCTTGCACTGACGTCCCACTCGCCGCTTCCCTTTCGGGTTCCACTTGAGCAATGGCCTGACGCGCGATGTCACCAGCCGGCCTCCTCAGCGAGTGTCCAATCCATCTCCACTTTCTCCTGCATATTTGTTGGGCAATTGGTTCTTGTTTTGTTTGTTCCCAGCCATAGTTTCTTGTTGGTGATTCTTTCCGGCCCGGCCATCTGATCTTCAGCATAAAGCCAGCGAAGATAGTTGTTGATGAAGGTCTGCAATAGCCTGTTGGAAATATTCTTTGTGACCCTCCCGCCAAGATTCTGATCCATATAGAAGAACTGACTGACTTGACGTTTGTATTGAAAATCCGATCGAATTTTGTTGTTGATACTGAGTGACGAAGATTTCCAGATTGGTTTCAGTTGGTTGATGAATGTGTTTCTCGCCTTCCCGATTCTCGCTCGATTTGACATCCTCGTCTGTTCCGACTTCCTGTAGTTGAGACAATGCTCCCTAGATAAGTGAGTGAATGAAGCAACCTCTTTCAAATCCCTCCAATTGATGGTGATTGGTGCTGGATGTTGCTGCTGTTGCTGTTGGTTGGTTGATTATTTTCATAATCTCCGTCTTGTCTATGTTCACTTGAAGTCCTGTCTTTGTTGCTTCTTCAACCGGTTTTTCGGTTTTCGCTTGTAAGTCTTCGATTTTGTGTGACATCAAACATAAGTTATCCGCGAAATCCAGGTCTTTTGGGTTCTTCACGTCGGTCCATGATATCCCTGTCTTCTCGTTTCCCACTGTTTGACCCATAATCAAGTCAGTCCACCACAATTAGGAATATCATTCATTGGTGATAATAAGCCAGCACCCTTGTCTGACTCCTGTGTTTACTCCAAACGCCTCGCTGGGTTTTCCCTTTGTGGATCACTCGACATGTGCCGTTGTCGTACAGCTGTTGAATAAGCTTGGTGAATATTTGGGATACGCCGTAGTACTTTGGGTAGTTTCCAAATTACTTCGCGGTCAACGCTGTCGAGGGCCTTCTCAAAGTCTACAAAGTTGAGATACAGCTTTGATTGCCATTCCGTGCTTTGTTCCATCATGATGATGCGTAGAGTTGCAATTTGGTCAGGACATGATTTGCCTTTCCTGAATCCAGCTTGTTCTGGTCGGAGTTCTGTCTCCAGTGCGTCCTTTAATCTCTCCAGGATGATGCGACTCAGGATTTTACTTGGCGTCGATAGGAGCGTAATTCCTCGCCAGTTCTTGCAGAGTGAGTCCTAAGTCGCCCTTCTTTGGTAGTTTCACGAGGTAACCTTTCCTCCAGTCAGTAGGCACCTTTTCCTCCTTCCAGACCTTTTGCAATGATGGAGTCAGCATATCTGCTGTCGTCTCTCGGTCCACTTTCAGTGTTTCAGGGGGTATTCCATCTGGTCCAGCTGCTTTTCCAGCTTTCAGAAGCTTGACTGCATTCAAGACTTCAGCTTTCGTTGGAGGATTGGTGTCAATTTGCAGTTGTGTACGTGCTGTTGTTGGTATTTCTGGACGGGTTGCAAGTGATGGTCGGTTCAAGAGTCCTTTGAAGTAATCCGCCCATTGTTTGATCTGTCTTTCTTCCTTGGTAATTGGGTTCCCTTGGTTGTCTTTTAAAGGTTTCACTTGTGTTGATCTCTTCCTTGATAGAGACTTAGTTATCTGATATGTATATATAACTCTAATATCAACATACTGATATCGACCAACCAGAGGACGTTTAAGTCACCTACACTAGGTTACCAGCATGATGCCTTCACACCTGCAGGCGAATTCCGCCTTCTCTGATGGTAAGACTTCAGAATGTTGAAATCACGACCAATCAGTTGAATAATGCATTTGTTCACTGACCTTGACAACAAACGACGTTGGAATTAAACCCGAAAGTTTGCCAAATATGAATGAAAGTTTCATAAATATATACAAAAGATGAGGTGATTGATCATTTTATAAGAATATATTATATATACATATTTACTTTACTAGACTTAAACAGTGCATAAACAAACAAGTCGATTAATTCAACTTTGTCATTCTTCGTCTACAGCATACAGCCTATTGTACTTTAATATTAAAGTACACTGAAGGAGTAGTACAGCAAGCTGAAACACAACGACGACTATATGACACAAACGCTTAATGTTTTTTTCAACACCCAAGTTAAAGACGAATAGCAGTCAAGTAGCCAGAATGTACTAGTGAACTTGAAACGGCTTATTGATTCAGATTGCTTACTCATCTCTAACCTTAACATTTCCCTAGCTAGTCCTAATCAATCCCTTACCTAACCCTTACTCCCATCTTTCCCTAAGCCCACACTAATCTTACCCTGAACACCTCTAAGCCTCCTGTAACTTAAAAACGACTTACTCCTAACCTACCTTCACCTTAACCCTGAGCCTAATCTTTCTTTAACTTCACCCTAAACTAATCAGATATCCCATTTGATGTTCTCACACTTCTTCCACCTTTTTTCTACAAATATAGTGGCATTCACCTGGTTTCGCTAAATTGATCCGTATTTGCGTTTCAAGGTGATATGCGCGTTTGCACTCCTGTACCTCTATTCGTTAATTCGAAAGGTATTATTTATTTTATTTTTCTATTATTTCCTTGAGTTCCAAGAGGAACATAGGGAAGACTTCAGAAACATACCTTCACTTTCTTCTATTCTCTACCATACTCTTCATCTGGGCCCGCGTTTTACCATAATCTCTCATCTCCTCCTCCACACACGATCTCCTCCATATCACTCTCACACCGACGACCCACTCCTCGCTTCCCATTGAGATTCCACTCGAGCAATGGTCCGCACTGAGCTGGATGTCATTCGACTGTCTTCTCAACGTATGCTCGATCAATCTCCACTTTCTCTTACATATTTGTTGAGCAATCGGCTCTGAATTGGTTTGTCCTCAGCCAGTATCTTGTTGTTAATTCTTTCCGACCATTTGCTCTTCAACATGAAGCCAGCGAAGGCAGCTGCTGAGTAGGATCAAAAGATTCCTAAACCGACTTCAGGCTGAAGAAGGCGTATCTCGCATTTCTAACTCTGACCTACTTTGACATCTTCATCCGTTCCGAATTCCTCTGGTTGTAACAGTGTTGGCTGCCTATATGAGTGAAAGAAGTAACCTCTGCCAAACCTCTCCCGTTGATGGTGATTGGTGTTGGCTGTTGGTGGTGGTTGGTTATCTTCACCACACCCATCTTCTCTGTGTTCACCTGGAATCCTGTCTTCTCTACCTGTCTCTTCAGACAGTACTTTTGCCAGTTTTCGCCTGCAATTCTTCGAGTTTGCTTGATATTAGACATATATAATCAGCGAAATCCAGATCTTCTAGAGTCTTATTGTAGGTGGTCCAGCGTATTCCTGTCTTCTCATTCCCTGTGCACAGTCTGACTCACAATCTAGTCTAGCACAATCAAGAATATCATCAGTGATAATAAGCAGACAGCCTCGCCTTACTCCTGTGTTCACTTCAAACACCTCGCAGAGTTTTCCATTGTGGATCACTTGATACGTGGCATTGTCATACAACCAGCTGTTAAATGAGGTTGATAAAGTTTTGGGAACTTGCTGTACACCATAGTGATGAAGTAGTCTCCAAATTACCTCGGTAATTAGCTTCTCTTGAACATCTTTCATAGGTTTTACTTGTGTTGATCACTTTCTTGATAAAAACCTGCTTATCTAATGTACTGTAGTGAGGTGCCTTTTACCTGAGGTCTGTTCTGAAAATGCAGTTTATCTAAATACAATACAAAGATCATTCATGTGCTCAACAGTACTTCAAAGTGGAAACACCTCAAATTCCTAACTTAGATTGTTTCAAAATTGACAATAATAAAAATAGTAAAATCTTTTTTTATAAAAAAAAATAGAAACTATGACCCAATCGATAATTTGAGTCCTAAATGTTAGACATTTCGATATATATGAAAACTAGACTAAGATTTTATTCACCCTGATATTAAGAGCTGAACTATGACTAACCATTGTTTTGTTTTTTGTGTTTACCACAAGATGAGTAGTCATCTAATATCTTTTGCGAAAAAGATAACAATAAACAAAGTAACAAAATGAATGCAAAATAAATCCATATAAATTATAATCACCAGAATAGTATCAACAATTCATCGACCATGACACTGTTATCCTTTAGAGCTTATAACCCTGATACAATTTCATATTCTAGTAATTATTGTATATTTTTTCAATGAATTAGTAGAAACGAAATTAATTAATCTTATTTATGCATGCAGTCAGAAGTATCTAAAATCCCGGACGAAATACATGACATTCTAGTCTACGCATCCGGTGACTTTACTACTTATCTCATCAGGTTATAACTGACCACCGTATACACCAATATGACGGTAGGCATTACGCGAATAAGCAGTCAGTCACCCTCCTTAGATGACATCTACAATGAGTAAAGGAGGAGATCCGGCAAAGTTAAACTTTAAGCACCACTAACTACCAATCACCGAATGACTTCGAACGCACCAATCACATGAAGGAAGCATTTATGTGTATGGAATACATATATTTATGGAAAAAATTCATAAAAGCCGTAGAAAAGTGTTACAGAGGGTACCTTCCTCTCACATGTGATAAAAATAGCTCTCAGTTTTAGGTTGGAGTATCAACAGAGTATAATTCCATTGTGAGTAAAATTTATTTCGATAAAGTTTCACGATGTTATACAGTAATGTTTACGGAGCAATAGATTGTGCTCGAAATGTCATCAGTAAATATTACTGTATAACACCCTGAGGCCTTATCAAAATAGATTTTACCCACAATGGAATTATACCCTTCCACAGTGCACAAGTTCTATTCCTATATCAACAGAGTAATTTAACCAAATTCCATTATGGGTAAATTTTGTTTTGATAAAGTCTCACAGTGTTATACAGTCATGTTAACTGATAAGCACGTTTCGAGCACAATTTATTACTGCTTATAATCATATCAAGATACTCACACGACTTCCTAACTTCATTTATATAGTTCCATTATTTTTCACTTGATTTTCGCTTGATTTGATTGGTAGTAGTATTTTCCATATTTCGGGTATGAGTGATGAATCATTCCTATTGCATTTGTTGCGTGTAGACTCGATGAACTAAACAGGATTCAGTAATCAACCTCTCTCTCCACCTACCTAGATTACTTTTTGGAATTTTAACCCTCTCCCACCCTATTGTGTGGTTGTGTGTTAGCGCATGCATTGCAATTGCTGAGCTTTTTTCTAGATTACTTATCTTTTCAGGGTCAACGATTCTAACCTTAGCTAAATTCAAGCTCTGTAGGTTAAAGGACCCAGTTGACCCAATTAGACAAAATAATGTAATTTACAAAATATCCTGCAGTGACTATGAGGTCAACTACATAGGTCAGACTAGTAGGTCAGGGGTAGTCAGATTGTCAGAACATAAGAATTTAGCTAAGGTAAGAATGGTTGACCCCAAGAAGATAAGTAATTTAGAAAAAAGCTCAGCGATTGCAATGCATGCGCTAGTAGGTCAGGGGTAGTCAGATTGTCAGAGCATAAGAATTTAGCTAAGGTAAGAATGGTTGACCCCGAGAAGATAAGTAATTTAGAAAAAAGCTCAGCGATTGCAATGCATGCGCTAGTAGGTCAGGGGTAGTCAGATTGTCAGAGCATAAGAATTTAGCTAAGGTAAGAATGGTTGACCCTGAAAAGATAAGTAATCTAGAAAAAAGCTCAGCAATTGCAATGCATGCGCTAACACACAACCACACAATAGGGTGGGAGAGGGTTAAAATTCCAAAAAGTAATCTAGGTAGGTGGAGAGAGAGGTTGATTACTGAATCCTGTTTAGTTCATCGAGTCTACACGCAACAAATGCAATAGGAATGATTCATCACTCATACCCGAAATATGGAAAATACTACTACCAATCAAATCAAGCGAAAATCAAGTGAAAAATAATGGAACTATATAAATGAAGTTAGGAAGTCGTGTGAGTATCTTGATATGATTATAAGCAGTAATAAATTGTGCTCGAAACGTGCTTATCAGTTAACATGACTGTATAACACTGTGAGACTTTATCTAAACAAAATTTACCCATAATGGAATTACACTCTACCACAGTGCACAATTTTTATTCTTATATCAAAGCTAGTGTTGGTTAATTTATTTTTCCAGGTGATGGCAAACTGTCAAAGGATGACATACAAAATATTTTACGCTATTATGAGCTTGACTTCAGTGATGAAACAGTCGATGATATTTTTAGGAAAATTACTGGAACTGAAGATAATTGCATTACTTATTCACGTAAGAAAACTAAAACTGAACATCGATTTTCCTATCAAAATTTTCATTTTGTTAAAAGTTGACCATCCTGATAAATAAGTGTATATTAAAAAGTACCAGACACCAAATATTTACGTTTTGGGTTTTCGTCTTTCAGTAACATGTATCACAAAAACATCTCAGCATTCACCGATTTAACTACACTATTATCATAAAAGACTGAGTACTGAACGAAAAATATTCTTTTCGATAACTTCCTCATCACGTCCTACAGTTATAAATATACATAACAGTGAATCAATTAGTGTGATTAACAACATTAATGTTGTTTAAATAACATCGAATCATTAATGATAATGTCAACGGATTACAATTCGACAACATCAACATAACAATACACTGAATGAATATCAGAGAAATCAGGAAAGATCATAATACAAATTAATGAATTTTTACTCTTCAGTGAAGGCTGACCAGGGCAGTAGTAGTTCTGGCTGGACTTGCTTCTTTTGCACAAAAAGCACTGTTTACTTTAGACGAATCGTGACAGCTTCTGTTGTTTGAAGTATGCAGTGCCTGGATTTTTTTGGCAACTTATTTAGTACATGATAAATGATAGAGAAGGATTCTTTGGCTTTGTGGCCTGTTTAGATGAGGTGGTCTAAAATCGAACTGTTGATGGTTTTTACTACACCTTTACTTGGCCACACTGGAAGATGCTCCCTAGCACGAAAAATGAATTTCCTTACGCATTGGCCAATATAACTCACTCTACAAGCTCAGTTGAATCGGTAGATACAAGAAGAGGTAGTTGGTCTAGGTACTTTATCTTTCAATCGAGGAATCACCATTAGTCGTGTAAAAAATAAGACTTGTAATTCACCAGCATTAAAAGTTCTTTGAACTGATTTTCTTAACTTCTTCGTAATTATTTCACTAGGTACGTCACCTATGAATTGTAGTCGTGTGTTATAAAAGCTTCTTATTCACAGTTCTTTTCTACTTTCTTGGCCATATGTTTGCTGCTGAACTTTTCTGGATAGTTAGTTTCAATCAAAGTGTCATGTACACTCCTAAGTTCATCTTCAGTTAAGTCTTCTGAATATATAGCTCTGCCCCTGTAGCTGAGGGTGTTTATTACGCCTCCTTTGTACTGGAGAAGGACAAACCTATGGAAATTCGTATACTGTCCTGCCCATGTATCTTTCTTGTGCAAATTTCTCCTTATACTACAGTGTGGTTTTCCTGTGAGAAGGATATCTAAAAAAGTAATCTTTTGGGGGGATTTTCCTTGACACGAGGACTTAATAGCTCAGTCCAATGAAATCCAACCAGGTATCACTAGATTAATAGTATTGCTCGATTGAGGGTTAGACACTGAAAAGCAGTAGACAGTCTGAATGAAGACCAGATATTGATCAATAATCAATTCAACGCCCATCCCTTAGTGCATGAGAGTGAAGACAAAAGATCCACTGACCTATGTCAGTGAGAACAGATCAATTTACTATTCAAAAATTCATTATATATAAATATTATTAACCACAAAAGGGTAAGCCAGTAAATGACTAATAAAACTGGCTGCATATAGTTGGGTTCTAGGGTTGTCCAACATTCTGCCCCGGGTCAATGGTTTAATCTGTCTACAGTGGTTTAAACCAGTCTAAGTGTGTTTTAGCCGCTTCCTACTAAATGTATTGGTTGAATGGTAACCTGCTCGCTAAAGAAAAAAACTGAAGCAAGCTGATACACGCTGCTATAGAGTTCACTAGCTGGTGTTAAATTCATCATACAAACTACAATTGTAACAACAGAAGACAAGGGCTGGCAACAGATCATTTTATTACGGAAATCAGCACGTATTTATATATATTTTATGTACATTATTAGAGCTTATTCAAGTAGACAAACGCAGTCTTCTGATTGGTTGTTTTCGAGTTTCTCGGAAAGTGGAGTCATCTATCTGCGAATCATATTTGCCCACGTTTAAGTCTGCTGTGATTGTTTGTTGAATCAGCCTTGTTCATATTTTCTCACGGCCAATATTAGTTACCTAGACATTGACGTAGATTAATGTCGACCAATTGGCTAGCAGCCGGCTGTCACCACACAATGACATAAAAACAAAAAAACTCCTGATTTCAAATTCTGTTTCCTTATTTGATAATCTAATTATGGATGTTACTTATAAAATTTATATATTTCTATTTTAGAATTATTAAATTTTATAGTGGATAACGAGGATAACTTTACAGTCACTCATATTTTGAATAATTCTTTATAAGAAAAATAACGAAGTGGAATTAATTTTTCCATTCAATAAAACAATCCTTTAAACTTTTTTTATTCGTGTATACGCTAAATACATGTGTGAATGAATATTAAATTGTGTACATTGAATTAAAATTCGTTTTTTTATTCAAAATCTGTTGTGGTTTGACCATACTGTGCTACGCGACATATTATTTATCACTAAGACAACGAAACACGTGCCCAATTACAAAAATTAATACTGTATAAATGAATAATGACATTATTATTATTACTGTTACTATTCCCACGGGTTCATGGTGGAACATAGGGCTTTAGCAGCATATCTCCATTTCAATCTGTTTTCTGAAGTCGTCTTTAGTTGGCTTCACAATCGCCCATAGGCACTCATCCTCTTTTCATGAGATCTTAACATCACTATCGGATACCTTATTCGTCGTCCTCTATTCGAGTTCCACTCTAGGGCCTAGTCGGTACGCACTATCTCTCAGCGGTATCCTGAGCACGTGTCCGATCAATCTCCATTTTATTCCTCATAGCTGTTAGGTACTAGGTTCTTCTTCAGTTCGTTGCCACAGTTTCTTGGTGCTATTCCTTTCTGGTCACCGGATCTGAAGTATGGAGTGCAGGTGTATGTTAATAAGTCTAAAGCCCTTTTTTAATGCTTTCGGTGACACGCTGATTCTCTGAACCACAAAGAAACACTGACTTGACATTAGTATTAATAGTTCGAATCCTGTTTATTATGCTTAGTACAGCAAATTCCCATACTGATTTCGTAATAATGAAGGTTTGTCTTACCTTTGAGATCCTGTTTTTGAAATCCTCATCTGTGCCGCTTATCGTTGAAACAAAAGCGCTATTCTTCACATTTTTATCAGTTCATTTGTGTTGGTATTAGCGTATTTGTGTGTGTCCAAACACATATATAGGGAGCACCATACACTCTTTGTAGGCGAAAATGGTTGGATATAAATCTAAATGGCTTTGAAGGGGTTAGAATCTCAATTTTTAATAAGTGTAGAATGAAAAACGTCTCCACCCATAAAAGAAAACATTATAGGCCAAAATTAAAGGATGGATGTCTACACAATGTTCTCCACTTTATAAGAATAGTTGAATATACTGATGCGGTAGTCATTCATAGAATTAATCTATTAGATTTAATAATACTGGAATCTCCCAACAGTATACGTCTGTAGGTACACGAAATTATTCTTGAGGAAATTTGAACAGAACATGTAGAACAAAGAAAACATACGGTTCAGTGAAGAAAACATTCTCTAATTTTATTTATTACAGCTGTACAATCACAATCATATACAATCTTTTCCTAAAAATGTGTTCAATGATTTTCAGTCTGAAATATTTAGTGATACAATCAGAATAAATACAGAGTTGCTAAGCTTTTTCATCCCTTTGTATTCTAAGCGGAACAAAGAGCTTCAAGCTCTGATATTCCAGTAGCCGTGATGCTATTTCTATGGGGTGAAATTGATAGTCTCACGCCTTACGGTTCTCCATCACTGGGATTACTGTCAGATAAGTAAGGTTTATGTATACATCGGCCAACAGTTGAACCTGAACCACGTGAGGCGTGGTTGGGTATCATTCTACCAGTGGATAATTGACGCATAGTATAGTATCTTTACCAAAGTATAATGGGAATTAAACAAAGGTAAGTAATTTGGATAGGAGCTCAACGAATGAATTAAAATAGGCAAAGGTATCATTATTATTATCAAAATGAGCATGGAAACGGGAATTACCATATTAATTTATTTCTTAGATGTATCACACAGTGAATCAGTATTACTTACTGCATGATGTTTCTAAAAATTTAATCAGGAAGTATTTATAAAAGTGTAAAAACAAAGTTGATAATGATAGTAATACCTATGATGACATGCATGAAAAACATACACAGAATAACAACAATACCAAAAATAAGGAATGTAAATCCTCATTAGCAATTCTACACGAAGAAGGAGTCTCGGAAACCTTGCGTAGAATGCTTAAAAATGCAGGAATGGAAATGACGTTCAAGCCCATAAATTCACTTGGACAAAAACTATGTCAGTTAAAGGATCCTGTGGAGCCAATTAAACAAAACAATATAGTTTACCTAATACTCTGCGATCATTGTGAGGCCGAATACATAGATGAAGGTAGTAGAACGGGGTCAGTCAGATTAGTAAAGCATAAAAACCTGGCAAAATCAAGATTAGTTGGCGCTAATAAGCTAAGAAATCTAGAAAATAGCTTAGCAACAGCAATACCTGCAATTACACACAATGGGATAGGATAGGACGACGGTCTGAAGATCTAATAAAACACGGTGGAAGGATGGATTGATAAAAGAAGTATTATTCATCGAATCAACCGAAAATACGCGCAATAGCTCTGTTACAATACTTATCCAGGACATCTGGAAAATTCTACTACCCCTACCACGAATATGTAGGAATAAAGGAAGCTATAAAATTGAAGTTCCGAAGCTATGTAGTTATCAATGATACTATGGCGAACAATAAATTGTATCCGAAGCGTAACTCGGTAAACTATACTGTTTCACTGAGTGATATATCTAGTAGGTAAATTAATATAGAATTACGTACTACCAAAGTGCCTATGCTTTACACATATATGAAAAAGGAATTGGCTGATATTACCCAGCAATTATATAGAATAAGAGAACCATTGAAAACCAAGGAGTACTGGACAGCTGTTTCATCCTAGTTTGGGAGTCATCTGCAGTACAATCCCACTGGGGTTCAAACCCAGGACTTTCGGCTACTAGGCCAGCTCGCAT